GCTTCTCCACCTGTATGAGATGAGAGGAACAGAAAACAGATAACATAACAGAAAGAGGGCACCAGAAAATCAAAGTAAACATAAGCAAAGCATCTTTAACTTACCCCATCAACAGATTTATTACCTTAAACAAGAATATTTGATCATAAACAAGAATTTTATAAATAGCATTTTTCCTCGGTCCTCAGGCATCATCTTAATGAACTCTGAGTGTCAGATTTCCTCCAACTAAGGCAGCAACTATTTGTGTTAGTGGAACAAAGTGACGATCACAAGCAGAACACGCTTCTCTCTCATGCATCCCTAATATGCAATCAGGCAGAATGTCAAGCTTGATTTGTGCTGAAATCCACAGCTAATAAATATGTAAACAAAAGATGCATCTTTCATTCAAACGTTAGAAGGAAACAGACTGAAAGAACCGAAGACAACAGAGAAAACGCCTCAAATAATGAAGTTCAAATAAGCGTCTCCTTCAGGCCTTTCTGACAAGGCCTCCGACAATCCAGCATGTTTTTTTTACCTTATTGAAAGTGTTTAAAGTTTACATATCTGGATCTAGAGCGAGCAGATGTGAGAAGACATGAAGGAGCCCTGCGGTTTATTAGGGTCAGCAGAGTGCAGTTATCTGTAACGTCCATTCCAATGCGATGCATCAGATACACCGAGAGTATCTGTCAGTGTCAGAAGATAAGGATCCAGTATTCAAGGCAGACAAACAGATTTCCCAAAATGTTTATTAAAAACTGAGTCGGAGTGAGTGGCGTCGGCGTCTAAGGCGTAAACCTCTGCGGGTGGAGACAGCAGGTAAGTGATCACGTCTTTCTGGTAGTGGATGATAATGGATGTGTGAGTGATTAACCTGGTCTTGTAGTTCAGTCCAAATCCAGAGGGTGAGTATGGTTCCAGCTGGCCAGCTGCCAACGAAGTATGGCGGTCGCAGCACAGAGGGTCCCAGATGCTGATCTATCAGTGGTCGGAGGACAAGCAGGAGATCAGAACTGAGCAGACGGATGTAAACAGGATGATCCAGAGGGAGAAGCCAAAGCCGATGTTGTTGACATGCTCGGGTTGTCAGAGCCACGAGGTCAGAGGTCCGGCGAAGTGCCAAGAGAGAATCCAGGATGGACTCGGGTCACAGTTCCAGGTAAGGTACAGAAACAGGTAGAGATCCAGCAGGAGTCAGAAGACAGGTCAGGCAAACAGATCAGACAGGAAAAGGCAGGCTCAGAGGTCGAGAGGCAGAACAGGTCAGGATCAGGTAATCAGAAAACAGGAACGCTGGAATAAGTCTAAACAACAGCTCGAAATAATCTGGCACTGATGACTGGTCTGAAGGCTGGTTAAATAGAGATTAATGCAGAAGGATCAGAGAAGCGAGTAATAAGAACTGGGCGGAGCTAAGCAGGTGTATGAAATTAGTAATCAGACCCTACATCAGTGCAGAGGTCATAACAGCGTCGCTGTTCAGGGATGGAAATTAGTCTTGTCTCCCACTTAACTATAGTTACATTGAAGGCAAAAACAGACTAGGAATTTACTCCAGAAGGATGCATAGAAAAGCGATGACAACAGAAGGTCTAGGGAGAAAGACGGTTCCTTCGCTCCATTCACTTCCTGTCCTGCCAACATGAACCATTTAGAGCAACAGGTTCACATTTTAATCCAAAATGGTCCATTCTAAACAGCTCAAGGTTGCTGCTCTGGTTACACCTGCTCCAGAAATGCACAGCTTCATCAGTTAACCTCCTGGAAAATGTTTATTAACTGGGACAGTAAGATGTGTGAGAAATACAGTGAACCTGGAGTTCTTTGAAATATAAAGATACCATGACGGACATCATGACGGATCGTCCGTTATGCTTAACATTAGGAATGCTACACGCGAAGAGAGAGTAGGATAAACAAACTATTTTTGCTTTTACTGTTAATGTCTTACATTGTCATGGAGACGTCATGAACTAAGATGTCTCTCTTGGTTCCAGTTCTCTTCCAGAGGTGTGGTGATGGTTTTATGTCCTTTAGCATCCTGCTCACTCTGCCTGATGCCAAGATGAACAGAGGCTTTCATCAAGCCTGTGATCAGCAGCTAATTAAAATGGGCTTCTGCGTCACGTCATATTTATTCCCCAAGGAAACATGTAGTTATGGATTACTGATCTAAAGTTCATGGAAACTTTAATTAGTAAAGTATAAATTATGCTTTATTAAAAAAAAATAATCAAATGTAACCTTTTTTCACCCAAATCAGTTACAAAGTCAGGAGTTTAGATTTAGCTGTTGTCTCTTTGGGAAATGTTGTGTTTACACAGGATAACCTGCCCCCCCACATCTGCCTGATTGCAGCCGCACAAAGTCCAGCTGCTTTTAGTGCGGTTGCTTAATCAGTCAGTGGTCGTGTTGTTGTAACTTCCCCAGAGGAGGAAAGCTGGGAGTGCGCCAGACAAAGGCTGAAACCTGACCCTGGAAATCCCAGAGCTGGACTCTTTGGTCTCTGCTGGGACGTGTTTCTGTCTGGGTTTTGGCTTTTTGCAGTGATTGCTTCCATTTCACTTCTATAAATAAAAGAATATCATTAATATGGTGCTGAGAGAGCGTCATCGTAGAACAGTCTGGTTCCCTTCGCTCAACTCATACACTGATATCACCTGACAGAAAATGAAATAAATAAACCGATATGCTGACATATGAACCTGAAACCATGCTGTTGATTCATCCTGAAAGGCTTGGCTACAATTGCACAACACAGGCCTTGTAAGGAGCCAGTGACCCATGGCCTGCTGTGATCCATGTCTGACTGACATCAGTGCACATCCATCGGCACTGGTTGCACCTCAGGCAAGTATGGTGACCAGGCTATTGGGAGGGAGGGGGGTCCAGACCGCAGCAGGCATCGTTTAGCCTTCCTGCTTCAATCTCTCAGCGATAGCAGAGCGGAGGCAGCGATCCAACAGATCTTTGGCTATCAGGGAGCTGGGGATGCCCATGTTCACTCTCTGATGTATAAAATCACCCAAATGTTTGTGGGTTTAAGGGAATACTTTGTATTAAACTGTTAAACTTCTTCCACTCATCGATTCTTCTTCTACTTCATTTAAAAGTCTAAAGAGGTTTTAAAGTCCACCTTTTAAAGACAGAGTTTGATTCCATAACTTTCTCTTATCAGCAGAATATCTCCTTCACCTTTATCCACCTTCTTCATGGATGTTAGGTTTCTGTTATGTTTTTTATGGTTTAATTCTTAATTTGTTGTGTTCTTTGTTTTTTTTCTTAGTTACTGTCTTAGTCTTGGTTCTGTTATGTTTTCTTTTGAGTGTTTAGTTTTACTTTGCTCCATGTTTTTATAGTCTTAGTGGTTTAATTCCTATTTCATTGTCTTTTCTAGTTATTTTCAGTCTTCCAGGTTTTTATTTGCTGCCCTCTTGTGTTCTCCTTTTTCCCTAGCTCCCTTTCTGTTCTGCTCTTAGCTCACCTGTTCCCAATCTGCTCATTAGCCCTCTCTTTGTTTCTGTCTCTCTCTCTTCAGTTCCTCTTTGCTTGGTCCTCATCTAACTTCGTCTAACTTCCTCCAACTCTGTCTCTCTGAGCCTTCCTCCTTGTGTTAGTGATCCCCCTGATGTCTCCATGGTTTCTGATTCGTTTTTGACTTATTTTCATGTTTTGATTTTTTGGGGATTTTTGGACTCCTGGTTTCTTGTTTGTTTGGACTTAGTTTTCATTTTGGATTCCTGGTTGCCTGTTTGTTTTGGTTTTCGTTTCATATTTGGATTTTTGTATTACCTGCCTCTGTGTTTCAGTTACTATCATTAAATCCACAAGAAATTCACCTCTGCCTCCCTGCCTCTGCTTTTGGGTCAAAAATCCGAAACCTGATCATGACAATGGAGGATTATTCAGATTTCTTTATAAAAAACAAACAAATACATTTTAGCATGCATATGTGCTCACCCCTCCTGGGTCAGAGTTTGGTAGAAGCGCCTACACCTCCAGGGATTTTGGGATTCTTATCTTGCAATCTATCCTTGCAATTTTGTAACTATACATTAGTTCCTGAATACTTACTCTGTGTTTTGCAGGTAACTCATTAGTACTGGTTAATTTTCCATTAGTTACTGATTAGTTCTGCAGGCATCATCTAGCAATGAAGTTAATTTTGTGTATGTTATTGTAAATTGTTCCCTTTTATTCTCCTATAAAAATGCTGATCTCTGTTAAACTATGTAATCTATTAAAGATGTCTGACAAACTTGTTAATGATCAGCTTAAGAAATATCTATTTGCAGAGAAAATCTTATCACCACTCTAGTTTCAGGAAACAGCACAGTAGAGTTACAGCCTCCATAAAAGTTGTAAATGATATTATTGAAGCCTTAGATAACAGTCGCTGACCTGTCCTTTTTAATTAGCTTATCTTAAGTAAATTCTGCAAAGGGTGCTATGAATTTGTTGCTCTGGAATGGGAATCGTTTGGGAAGACACGAGGCAGGGGATGACTCTGAGTGAAGGTTAATGACCCCTGGTCTGACCTAGAAAAACCTGCTGGATTAGACTTTAGTTCTGGGGAAAGAAATGAATAAATCTGCAAGACAGAGCATGAATCTTAGTGAAGTTTATGAATAAATAATAATACCCTGAATTCAGCTGAGTATCTACACTGTTTAAGTCGGAAAAAAACAACAGACAGCACTTTGTGGTTTTTATTTCAAGCAGCCATTGAACGGTATTGAAGATGCAATTGCTGCTGAGTGGCAACATCTGATGCAGGATGGAAGGTGATCCTAGGACTGATGAGGGCTCTAATAGATCTGTCTATCGATGGGTTATGGAGAAAGAAGAAGGAAGTTTGAGGAGCGTGCAGGCTGCAGCAGAAAGACGCCCTCTTCTTGTGCACCAGTGAATCTCTCCTCCCTCTGTTTTCCCCTCTCTCTCTCCGGCTCTTCTCCGCCAATCTGCGCGCAGTGACGCTGCGCTAAAGGCTGGATCTATCCTGGGCTTCATCATCATATTTATCACACCCTCCCAGATTCCCACATGCTTACAAGGGGCTCATTCTTTTCTCCAGCTGTAGGAAACCCAGCGGTGCCTCCCGCTGAATACCTGAGCGCAGCGCTTGTTTTTCATGGGATGTGGATGAAGGCACCTATTTCCGGGGACTTTCCCTGAACAACACTGAAATGTGACGCTTTCCTCATTCCGTTTAAGTACTGATCCAGCCGAACCGGACATCTCCCTTTCCATTTTTTGAATATCTTGCCCCATTCGCTTTAGATCCAGGCTGGACGGACCCGGATCGTGCGCGCTGCGGGGTCTCGTGGGATTGCGCGTTTAGAGAGGATCTTAGATCCCGTGTTTCCTGTTCTTCTGCACGGGAAGAGGGCCGGGCAGATGAGTATGAGGCTTGCAAACATCTCCCTTTGGTCAGAACCAACCCGAACCGACTTCACTTGAATGGTAAAGGGATCGACTCTGGACTGGATCCGGGTGATGTGGCAGATTCTGGAGGCTGAACGCTGAATCCTTTCCTCAAGACGGCCAGTGAAGATGGGTCCTACTTGTTCAATGTGTATCTCATTAGACTGGCGTCCAGTTTGATTAACATCATCAGTGATGTAGTCAGCCTGGTCATCTGCGTCCTCATCATCTGCACCAAGTACTCGCATCTGCTCAAGAAGGAGACCGTGAAGATGATCCTCCTGCGTAAATTCCGGGTCCTGATCCTCATGGTGTTCCTGGTGGCCTGCTCCATGCACATCATGATCGACCTGTTACCCAAGCTGGAGCGCCAGGGCACCGCCGGCTGCTCCTGCGCGCACACGCCGAGCGAAGAGCCGGTCCGCAGCTGGGCCAAGCAGAGCTGGCCCAACAAGCACACCCTGCGGATCCTCCAGGACTTCAGCAGCGAGCCCAGCTCCAACGCGTCCTCCCGCTCCTTGGATCGGATCCCTGCTGACAGGGCGCCCGGTCCGCAGCTGCCCGGTCAGCGCGTCGACAGGAAGCGAGCCTTCATCCAGGAGGCAGGGGTGGCCCACAGGAGACCGGCCAAAGGTTCCAGGCTGTCTGCTCTGTTTGAGCATCCCTTCTATAGAAGATCTCTGCCGCCTCTGACGGATGAAGACACGCTGTTCAACGTCAACACGGACATCAGATTTGACCCCAAAGCTGCGGAGGACCAGGCATGGTAAACAGGGGCGCATGTAGGCTGATGTAGGGACAGGGTGGCTGGGGGACCAAAGCCAGATCAGCTGCCTGGTAGGAGTTTATTTTGGCTCAGATTCTGGGCCAACCTGATTTCATTGCTTTGGCTGGAGGAAAAGTCAGTTTAGGGTCAAACTAAAACTATTATGCTGCCATTATATCATCATCCACCTGTAGAACTTGTCCTGCCCCCCCTGTTATGTTCCCTGCTCTGAAAACAAGCTGCAAACTTTAAAATATAATTAAAATTGATGGAAGTGTCAGTATATTACCTTAATTTGAGCTGGTAGGAAATTCAATTTGCTGATGGGGTAATCTGTTTTATGTGTAAAATGAGAAATGCACATCTCTAATAACTAATTTCAAATTATCCAAATAAAGAAAACCCCTTCCTTTGGTAGATCGCCTTAGTTACCTGTTTAAATAAGGATAAATATACAGATTTTAATACAGCTCCACTTTTATCAGAACTGTTTTTACAGTGTTATACTGTATCAGTTTCTTATGAAGTGGCGTACTGACAATAGACACAGTAAATAAAACATCCCTAGGAAAATGTAAATTTTTCACCTTGACAATTTGCTTAAACAATTATTTAGAAAATGGAATAGGCTTTAAGCTTCAGCTGTACTAAGATAGGATCGCAGTATTTGTCTGCTAGATCACGGGTCTGCAACTCTGGCTCACTTAATCAATGCACACTTGCTCTGTTTTGTGTCTGTGTGTGTTATGGTTTTATTCTTTGCCCCCATGAAAAAAAAAAAGAAAAAAAACACTGGACCATCTCAAACTGTCACTACCTTTTAGACAGCCATATCTGTAACTTTATGACTTAATTAAAACGTTTTTCAAAATCGTTTTGCAAAATGTTGGATCTAATTATAGAACATATTTGATAGTTAAAGCCAAACAGTTAAAGACTTCACTTTAGTACATATATATATATATATATATATATATTTTTTTTTTTTTTCCCTTTTTATTTTCAAAATTCCAAATTTTCCATGATAAAACTTTCTCTCAACTAAAACTTGTTACATTTTCACATGCTTATTAAGATTAAATGTCATTGACATGTTCAGCCAGTCCTGTAACTGCTCTGTCTTCATCCTGTCACTGTCCAGGACCGGGGAAGGTACAGATGATGAGTTCAGTCCCACAGGGGAGCTGACGCCTGAGTCCTACCCCAACTGGCTCCGCTTCCACATTGGGATTAACCGCTATGAGCTGTACTCCCGACACAACCCGGTCATCGACGCTCTCCTTAAAGATCTGGCGACGCAGAAGATCACCAGCGTCGGTGAGCTTTTTAGTTCATATGATAAAATCTATTTTGAGTTGGTTTGATTAAGACAGAGGATCATGCAAACAGTAGCATTTTATGGAATGAACAAATAGTTAATAATCCAAGTTGGATTAGCTGGTTCCCAATCCCTATCACTGACTCATGGAAATACTCAGGTTAATTTGTCAGATAATTTGGATTTAATCATATTCTAGATTATTTTTCCTGTCTCCCTCACTACTGACCATGCCTCCCTGTGCAGAGAGCCATATCCACATCAGCAGAATCTGACACTGTGAGCTTATTGAGTTTATATTAGAATAACAAACACAAACCGGAGGTAGGACAATGGTGAATTCTTAGCAAACCTATGGTGACAATGGAAAGAAGTTATTTCCTTTAAAGAGAAGAAAAGGTCCATCAGAACCAGAACCAGACTCACTATAACCTGCAGTCAGCTGGAGAATTGAGAAAGCAGAAATTTAAAAACAGAAGAGCAGGAGATATTAGAGAAAATCCTAGAAAGAGTTTAGTGGAATAGCTCTGCGTGCCCCTCCTCCACCTGTTACTGCACACTTTCCCCTTGCATCCAATAGCCTGTTGTCTGAGAGACATTTTGGTTTTAATTTTCACATAAAAGATAAAATGCAGCTATTTTCCCCAATATAACTAACCAAACGTACAACAAGTATCTCAAACACGTTTTCCAAAGAATGTGTAGCAGATGGAGTATCTCTTCCAGCCCCCATGCTGAACATTGACTCACCAGCATGCAAAAACACACAAGTATGCAAAAATAAAGAAAGAGGTAAAGAAAGAGAGCTGTAGGCTATCAGACACCTCGATCTCCTCAGCTTGCACGTTCCTGCCCTTCCCGGTCAAGAGCCAGAGAGGAACAGACGGTCACACGGCCAGCAGCCGCAGCGTGACTTTTTAGATCATTTGAAAGGAGCTGTGTACCGTTTCTGCAGTGAAGATCTCCTCCTGCTGAGGATGCAATCTGGCATCAGGCTGAGCTAAAAATCCACGCAGGAGCACCTAGAATAACCCTTTTTTTTAATCTCCCCCTTCTTGGCCGCGTTTGACTCAAGCATTCCGAGAGTGCTTCTCGACTCAAGGTCGGCTGTCTGTAAAAAAAAACAAAAAAAAAAAAAACAGCATTTCTGATTCCAAGTTTATCTGGCAATGACAAAAATATAACTGCCCTTTAGCAGAGATTAAATGCTTATCTAGGAGGATTAGCTGTTCATAAAACTCACATCCATGCCTGGTTGCTGGTATAATACAACACTTTATTTTCCTGTCATCTCAAGGAGATGTTGTCTAATTTCTTTAGATTACTCCATACTCACAGCCTGTTTGGAAACAGGAAGCGGCTCCTAGCATCTCTTGCCAGCTAAATACATGGTGCTTCAGTAATTACAGAGTCTTAACACAGGCCCTGGGCAGAAAACCAGTAGAGCCCAGCAGCAGTTGTCTATTATTTAGACTTAAGGGTAGGAATGCTTGGATGTATTCATGAAAGTAGGCGCTGGTGAACAAAGCAGATATGATACATTTCTGCTGCTGGTTGGAACAGTTTGTAACTCTGACGGTCAGAGTGCAGAAACGGAGATAAACTCTTCTGCAACAACAACGTGGGCCTTTTACTGCATGTGGGCTGAAATGAGACAGTATTTCCAAGGCTTCTGCTTGCAAGCATGAGTTCCTGGTCAGTACAGCCCAAGTCGGCTGTTTTAAACTCGGTTCAGAGCTCTGGAAGGACACCCAGGCTTTTGCACAGGTCAATCAGACATCGATCTCTTCACCTCTCGCCAGTTTTTCTGTGTAAACAGTTTGCTTCCTGATTTTTTTATGTAAAAAAAATAAATGAAAGCATTGATCATTGGCAGAGAGCCACTGGAACGCAGCAGAAGCCATCGATCAGTGCTGAAATCGCACCTTTGCCTTTTCAGCGTTTTGGGTCCCAGCTGTGCCTTCAGACTGAATCATTCTGCTGGGGGGGGGGGAGAAAACTAGAAGAGATGAAGATGATTGGAGAGACAGAAACCCAGAAAGAGGCGCAGAGAAACGAAGCAGCGCTGCGCAGAACAAGCTCACATGTACAACAAAACACTGTAGGGTCAGAAGAACCGGATACTCAACCAGGACATGTTTCAGTTTATCTCCTGTTTTTGAGCCCCTGAATAGGCGATAATCCATGAATCATACTCAAAAAGGTTCATATTAAATGTTTAGAGGACTATCTTTTACTTCTGGGTGGATCATCTAAATAAGTGGTCCTCCTAATTGTCAATCATTCTGGTGATATGAGTCTGACATAGTGGGAAAATTGCAAATCTTCTTTTGGAAAGTAAGCTTGTATGAGCGATGCAAACAGCAACTTTTAAACAGAGTGTGCAGGAGGAGAAATGAGCTTGTGCATTTTTTCACATTTAATAGGCGTTCCCTCTCAGGAGCGGTTACAGGGTTGTGCATGTGTAGTTTTTTTTTTAAGTGGAGAGGGCGGGTCATTTTAAAAAAATCTGGAAAGTCCATTACTATACCTTTAATCTTTATTTTAATTAGTCTTTCAAACAACAAAGATTGGATGATTTTATTATTGGATGTTAAGGCCAGGCTTTAAAATGTAAGATTTACTGTGTTAAACAGGCACCAAAGGTTTCCATTAAACCCAATGTGTTGGATGTACTCTCTAAGTTTATTTTCAGGCACAGATTACCTTTAAATAGTTGGCTGTAGAGCAGGGGTGGGCAATTCCAGTTCCTGGGGGCCAGTATCCTGCAACTTTTAGATCCATCCTTGGTCCAACACACTGAGTTACCTCCTTAGCAAGAGTCCTCTCAGTCATCTAATTATTTGATTCAGATGTGTTGAATTGATCACTTGCTTGATTAGTTGTCTTTCAACCCAGAAGATGTTGATACACTTCCAGTTACCAGTCCTACATGTGATCATTCCCCCTTAGGAAGGCACCAGGGGCACCACAGTGTGTTAAAGTGAGGCCAAGTGAATGAGGCGCTTTGAGTTGGTTTGAATAGATGTGGTCCATTTATCGGAGTAGGTGTGAACTAAGAGGTACTGACCTCTCGCTCTTCTTCCTGTTGTGAGTTGAGCAGCAGGACTGAAGGAAAATGTTCTGCTTCATAGATGCTGTTTACAGAAAGTCTTTAAGTTTTCTTGCTCTGCTGTTTCTGCTGCATCCAGGCTGTTTCTGAGCTGCTTTAATCCATCTGGTTAAAACCTGTAAAATGGAGAGAAAACCCAGAAAAGGGTTTGCTTTAGTTGTATAGCTTTAAAGGTAAAGCAAACACCCTGAAGTGATTTATATATTGTTGTTTTCTGTTTGATTCCAACAGCTATGAAGTCTGGAGGCACTCAGCTGAAGCTCATCATGACCTTCCAGAACTACGGCCAGGCGCTGTTCAAGCCGATGAAGTACGTCATTCTGTTTCTCTAACACGCGTTTATTTAGCGTGACTATTCTGTTGCCATACTGCATCTCTTCACCTCCTCACAGCGTCAGCCTCATTTCCATGTTGGTTTCTCTGCTGACATCAGATCCCTTTCAGTTATGAACAGCCTCTTTATCCGATCGGCGTTTCAGCTCCAGGTGACAGGCTCCTTTCTTAGGGCGGCCATGTTCGAGGCCCTAAACCTCCGGCCTCACCTGCTGCATCGTTTTAAGGCTAAATTACCCCCCTTGTCAAAATCTGACTCTTTCTAGTCAGTTCTGGCAAGTTTCCTCTAACCTCAACTCATGATGTTATTGATATTTGTTAATTGAACGGGTTTGAGTCTTATCTGCTTCTCTCTGCAGCTTTATTTAACTTTGTGGGAGGGGGAATGTTTTCTGTTTCCTGTCAGAAAGTGGCGATGAGGGTTATATTAAAAAGACAGATGCTCATGTTGCCCCACTGAGAGATTCTGACCTTGGTGGTCTGTGGAGTCATCATGTAGTGAAAACAGGAAGTGCTGATGTCCACTGATGTGCCTCAGTGTATATCAGGAAACCATAATGATCTGGTCGACTGCATGACTTTCTCAGGTGCACATGTTCCTAGTCTTAAAGATTTAAAACATTTATGTGTTTTGACATCATTACATTTAACCTCTGTGATCTGCTTCATTTAGTGGATAAAAACTTTCTTTTTCGTTTTTTTTTTTATTTCTAAACAGAAAAAAATAAACACCCATGTTGCTTAAAGCTCCTATTGCTCACCGTATATTATAGCTTAAATAACTACACCTAAAGGTCATGATTTTCATGCAATACAACGATAGTTGTACATTCACATTTTGGAGTAAAAACGTGTGTCACAGATTTTATTCTATTTAAATTATATTCTGAATTATTAAAACATTACAATTTCAAATCAAAACTCCTGTTTCTGGTTTTCAATAAACTTGAATAACAAATCAGAAAAATTAACAAAACAATAATAAGAAAAAGAACATTCATGTTTGAAAAAGGCCATAGACTAAACTCTGAATTTTTTAACTTTATTGAGCAACAATTAAACTTTTACCAGGTCCATTCAGCCCACACATACTTTTGCTAAGCTGATCGTGTTTGGGCCATTTTGACTTAAATTCTCTGCCAGTTTAATCCATTTTTATTATTAAAAATGAACCTGGAAACATTTATTAAAGGAGCATAGTCATTTTATATGCCTATAAAGAAAACCTTCTCTCTGTCTCAAGTATAAGTAGATAAATCAGTGCTACATGGTGGCACTGGGGAAAAAAGCTGCAGCTGGAAGGAGTTTGTGTATACCACAAAAAACAGCATTTTTTTTTGTCGTGGGCTGCATCTAAAGCCATAGTAAAAAAAAAAAAAAATGCTCTTAAAAAAAACAACCGTTGAAGGACTGAGTCTATCGTCGATGGACGATAGATTTGCCAATTTCTCAGGCTTAGCATATTGTATCGTTATCGTGATACATTTTCATCCATTTTCGAACAAGCTTAATCCCAAGTGGGGTCATTCACATTCACACACACAATCACACCTAAGGAGAATTTTAGAGAAGCCTATTAACCTAACAGTCATGTCTTTGGACTGTGGGCAGAAGCTAGAGTACCCGGAGAGAACCCACGCATGCACTGGGAGAACATGTAAACTCCATGCAGAAGGCAGCAGTGCTCCCCACCGCGCCACTGAACAGCCCTGATACAGTTCCAGTTACTATACAAAAATTTTATTTATCATTTAAATGATAAATTAGAATCAGTGAAAATTAAGAACTTTATAACCTTCATAAATTATCAGAATTTTTATTTTTACTATTTATTTATTTTCTTTCACTTTTTTTCCATTAGGGCATTGACAAATGTGAAGAGTATGATTAAATGAGGTTCAAATAAGATGTTTAGTAATTAACATAATTCTTAGATGCTTTTTTACTGGTGTCCTGATTATTTTTATTAATAATTTTTATTAATGATTTTTTAATTAATGATTTTTATTACAGATTTTTACTGCCGTAACTGGTGTCCTGATTATTTTTATTAATAATTTTTATTAATGATTTTTAATTAATGATTTTTATTACTGATTTTTACTGCCGTAACTGGTCCTGAAGGATCTGATTTTAAGTGCATCTTCTCTCCAATAGTGTTACTCCTGATTTCCTGATTATGGGGGTATGATTGCTGTGGACAGTCGTCACAGCCTTACAGTCACCTCAGAAAGAAGTAATGTTTTGTTTTTTTACCGTCACTTTTATTGTTATCACGATAATATCAGCAAATATAGTGATATGATTGTGATTGAATATTGCTCAGCCCTACCACACAGTGACTATGCATGTCACTGTATAGTAGTATCATCTGGTAGGATTAAATGTAGAGTAATCAGAGTATCTGAGGCTAAAACAGCCTGGTTTGGGGATATCCGGTTTTTCTGCTTGTTTAACGCCAACCGACAACCACTGGGGTCTTTAGGAATTCATCCGCAAAACCCACGTTTCCTGTTTCTTCGCAGCTAATCCTGGTTCAGCTCTGATTGAATGAGCGACAGTAGAACATGTCATTAACGTCACACAGAGAGGCAGAGCCTGGCGTCCTGAGATGACTCCTGCTTTAAAGGCAGCTCTTCTCTTCCTCAGATGGTTTCAGTGGTTTTGTTCTACTTACTTTCTAGGTTTTTCAGGTGAGGCAGGAACTGAGGATTTATTGGAGATGAAGCAGACGATAGATTTTGTGCCAAACCTAAGATAAAACCTGAGCTGTTTTGGGTTGATCGTATAATGCGTTTGAAACCATTAACAGCTACTGGTTCTAATGGTAGAAACCATTCCCCTAATGGCTGCTGGTGTTTAGATGATGACTCGGCCCATCAGAAGTGCTCCTTGATCCTAATCCCACACTGATTGGTGGATTTAAATGTCACATTTGCTTTGTTATTGTGGTTGTGAATTAATTATGGGTTAATGGTTCTTTGCTCAGCCTGTTGTGCAGCCTCTGCATGTCAGCGGGGAGAGTGGGGTTAAGCCTTCGGATGATAGGTAGGAGGGGGGGGCGGAGAAGCTATTCAGAGACTTGGTAATTACTGTTTCAATCGTACCACACAGAGTCAGGCCAGACGCAACAAGCCTGAAATCATCCTGACAGGCTAGGAGGAGTCCAGATGAGAGAGGTGAGAGAAACAGGAGATGGAGGGGAGGACGGGGGTGGAGGTGCGATGGATGCTCTCAGTCTGGATCCACAGCTTTATGAGCTTCACATGTTGAAACGACAAGTGAAGTAAACTAGGCTTCTGGGCTTAAATCTGTGGTCTGATTGGGCTGGTCAGAACCGTTTGTTTGGTAATCCTAAAACCCAATAATAGCTACATGGATTTATTTTTAACCAAACAACGCCTAGAAAAGTGTTTAATGTGCTCAGATTACTACATATCAATGGGTTTTGGGGGGATTTACTGTAAAGGGGAAGATAGGTTGGTTCATAAGAGAATGATCTTTTGATATTTTTGATCTATATGATGATATTTCTGCCCTTACTTCTTGGGAAACAGCTCAGCTCAGACAGATGGGGAAACTGAACATCCGTTTTGAAATCATTCATCCATCCATTTTCACCATTCGCGCTTAGCTCAAGCGGGGCAGCGAATGGTGCTGCTGCCTATCTCCAGCTGTCTAGGGGCAAGAGGCGGGGTGTACCTTGGACTGGTCACTAGTCCATCGGAGGGCAACACAGAGACAAACAACCATTCACGCAAACATTCACACTTAAGGGGAATATAGAGAAGCCAATTAGGCTAACTCAGGAAGCCGGAGTACCTGGAGAGAACCAAGGCATGCTCAGGGAGAAAATGCATACTCCATGCAAAAATAGCTGGGCCAGGAATCTAATCCAGATCTTCTTGCTGCAAGACAGCAGTGCTGCCCACTGCTTTACTGAGCATCCCTGTTTTGCACTGTACAATTTATTACCCTTTTCGGCCGATTCTCCAGTCATGCTAGAATTTTTTGAATCAGGCTCATGGTGTGTCTTGCGTTGTGTAGTATACAGGGGGTAACGAGGGCCGAGTAGCCTCTCACGACCACCTCCCGATCACGAATCGTAAGATCAGGAAAAATTCAAACATTTTTAAAATTCAGTCGGCCGTCGTGAGGTGTTCGTTCAACAGCAAATTCTGCTGTTGAAGTGTCTACGAGGCAATTTACCAGAACCTCACGCACTGTGCATGCTCAAACAAGGGAGTTTGTTTTCTTTTTCTTCTTCCAGATTGACGAGTCTGACCAGCGCCATCTCTGGTGTTGAGTCCGACGTGTGGTTTTTGGACGTACAGTGTGAGCAAGTAGATCGCATCAGAGCGTCGGGCCACAAAGTGTAAGGACATGCATCGTGAGCTGTGAACTTTTAAACCCTGCAGTTTGAGCTGCAGCTGAGAACAACGATTGAAAAAATTGACATTTCTGCAGGGTTCTTTTACTCTTCATGATGCGTTTTATTCTCTGATGTTTTCTAACCAACCGCTGAGATAAAGGATGCCACATTTTCCAATACTATTTGTAAAGAATTTCCAAACTATATATATATAATGTTTTGTCTTTTCACTTCCCCCCTATTTTTTTAAACAGTTTAAAATCAAAAGCAGTGCAGGTTAATGTTCAACATGACATCATGTGGGGATTTTTATGAGTTATGAATGATTTTGCAAGGCAGAGTTTGTTGGGTTTCAGTCTTACTCAGACTCGCATGCCAAGCCCAATAACCACAGAACCACACACATCCATCTAACCACCCAAACCATCTCCTTGTTTCCCAATCTGCTGCTGAGTTTCCACAGGCAGCATCAAAGGAGCCAGCGGCTGAAGGATCAAAGCCCGCTCCGCCTCTGCTCTAACTCCCAGCTCCTCTCAGCTCTCATTCAAATGTGTGCCAGGCAGTCGGGCCGCCAAGGCAGGTCGGCAGGCATGCGCGGCGTGTCT